GATGATGTGGAGGAAGCAGGAAGCCCCTTCGAAGATGATGGTATTGGCCAGCTCAATGTTCCGCGCATAACAATTTGGTATGATGCCCGTGGAGCCCGATATTGAAGATGGTGGACCCACTAGGGAGCATAGCGGCAAAGGGGCCTTCTCGCATATCGAATTGAAATCGCCAAAGCCCATCTTGAATAGCAGAGCTAGCTCAACAGATGGATAAGACAGTTGTGTGATGTCCGATTGTTTGGGTCGACAGATAACCTGCACGAGATGGGCGGATCCAACCGGTCTCCACAACGACGGGCGGGTTTCCAGATAAGCCAAAGAGCACGACCTCTCCTTTTGACTGGAGGGCGATCACTAGGAATGACGTGGCTGTTGCAGCGACGGCAGAAACCAGATCTGAGGATAAGCAGCACCGGTAGTATATCGCCGAGGAGCCTATCGAAAGCGATGGGACCACGATGCGATTGGGTCGACGAGGAGGGGGCAGATGGTGGGAAAAGATCGCTGGGCGCTGAAATGCCAGGATAAGGCAGGATCACGGGGTTGCACTAATGCCTGATTGGGAATCCGACTGGGGGAAAGAGAGCCGTTACTGGATTAAGACTAGCGCATCTCCCCAGATGCGGTTTTTACTTTATGTAGAACTCTGCGCTAACTGCAATGGGAAGGTTGTTGATAGTGCTATCTCTTTAGTCCGGGTTTGGAGTATCTATGCCCATGCGGACTAACGGTTCCGTACTTAGTACTTACTGACTTAGTTACTAGTTTAGGCTGTGTTGGCCAGTCGAACATAGCTAGGAGGATCACTACAAATTTAGGTACGGAGAGTCCTTAGTGCCTGCACTAAAGTACTCTAGGATTTCGGCGTTTGCCCGTTTCCTTTATGGCCTCCGTTCGTACTTCTGTAGTTGGTATAGAGTACAGCAAGTCAAACGATCGATGATGTGGTGAGTGGGTTGTATGGGACAGTAGTAGTACTCAAGTAGGAAGTAGCTCCCCGTTAGATGCATAAGTCAGTAGCAGTAGTTTGCCTGTAGGTACATGTAGTCATATAGTACATGTGGCTCACTCTCAATGATTTGACTCTTTGATGATCTCACTAGGTTCTTTTTGTGAAAATTTCGGGAAGATCGCTTCGCAGGGGCTTCAAATTCTCCCTTATTTCCAAACAGCCGAAGTATGGGTTAAAAGGGTGCCAGGCAACAATCCCGGCATCTCTGCGGTATTGATTAACAAAGGTGTAAGAGGAAATGAGGAAGAGCAGGGATTATGGGTGGATGATTTAGCGAGTAGAAATTGAATGAAGTTAGATACTACTTTAGGTACCAGTAGTAGTAATCGTTGTAAAAAGAGTGAACAAATTAGGGGGGGAAAAATAAAAAAGAAAGAAAGAAAGAAAAAAAGAAAAAGGACAGACTTATGGCATACCTAGTAACCCCGCCTAACCTCCGAGTCCAACTCGGGAAATGCCGAGCTTGGACCTCTAGCCGGAATGGCTGTCAACGATGCGCCGTGATTCTGACTCGCAAACCACCAGGGAACTCCTTTTAGCCCCGCACACCATCCTATCTCGGGCTTGGATCAAGCTCACCAACTTCCTTAGGTGCTCAACTACTGTGGCCCCTCCGGCCTTCGCGATGTCTCACTAATACTATAGTTCTTTCTCAGACGTCGCTCTACACACACTACCTTCAGATGGGTCTTGTTTGTTACTATCTACTCGTCTTCCCACTGGGTTAATCTAGCCATGTTCCATCCCGTCTTCTCTCCCCCTCCCCCCTCCCGCCGGCAAGCAAGCAAGCAAACCACCTTGCCATGTTTGGGTCCAAGTGAGGCACTCACATCGAATCACATTGCCGAGGACAGGAAGGTCAATTCCTTCGCCACTTGCACCCTAGTTCAGTGAGTGAAATCTGATTGCTCGCCCCAAAACACTTGCTAACGCTTCCATGGAAAGATAGTAGATCTGAATAGAAAGAAATAATGAAACGAGGAGAGAAAAAAGTAAAAGAGAAAAAAAAAAAGAAAAAAAAAAAAAGTAAGGGGAAAATACCTCACACACTTTTGCCGATAACAGTCTCCCGCTAACCGCCCTACTAGGTTCATACCCGGTTGGCAATGGGCCGAGACTCTCTGCATATGGGACCATTTGAGTGGGCACTTGGTACCTACTTGTGTGCCTACGGAGAACACCCGATCCTTCCTCAATAGTCTTGTTGATTCTTACCTGCTAGCAAAGGGTAGCGAAGCACCCACGCCAATAACTGAGGTGAAAAGGATCCCACTATGTTCTTGGCACCGTTGCTCCCCGATCTCCCGGAAGCTTACGCATTTCATACTAACAATTAACGGCAACCCGACGTGTGTTCGGTGCAATGGCCATTCTGATTACCCATCGAGCAGGGGTAGAAAAGAAAATCTCGAGAGAAAGCTTACTATGGCTGGACCTAAAAGCAGCAGTATGGTGGTCGCGATTCCTTTGTCTGGATGATATCCTGGCCTCCTCTCCAATTGCAATCTATCTTGGCTGTTTGATGTTGCACTTCCTGTAAGCTGGCGCACGGTATCTCTGACTGAGAGCATCCCTTGCCAGGCTTCCTGCTATATTGCTAGGTCTGCACTGCCACCACATGTAGCCGAGTTTAGTCGGACAGCTGGTCTGAGTTACAGTGATGGTGGTGGCACCATGCTGTCAAATTACCTTGTGGATAAAGTTATTAATTGCATGGAGCTGACAAGGGGACAAACAGTTGCAGGTTGATCGATGTAAAAGTGAAAGGGATTAAAAGACGTCAGTCAATACAAAGCAGCCGGACGGGCCAGGCACCATGATATTTGCATTGTCCAATGAAGATCCATCATTCTGACGAACTAACTTACGATTTTCCCCATACCCGATATTGGCTAATGCATCTATCTGGCTATCTCGAGATGACTAGAGTCTATCTCTGTTAGCCAATTGGAGCAACTCCATGGAACGGGACTCCTTGAACCACGGGCTTAAAATTTTGCAGACCGAACAGTTTCACAGCCCCTTCGTGTTTGCCGGGCCCTATTTCTGACTGAGGCCCAAGCAGAGAATTATGTTTTTTCTAAAGTCTCACCAGTGCCTATGCATGAAGATCCTAGTTAGCGCCACGTGCAAGTGAAGCATCAACGGCTGCGAGGGACCGTGTCGATCTCCCATTGACCCGATCAATCCGCGGCAGATGGGGCTTTGCATCGCAGTGGAACGGTATCCGCCGGTGCTCCTTCAAAGTTTGTAGTTGCGACATCATTGTTGTCCTTATGGAGATCGATGCGCTTCCGATATATTTGGACCCGCATCGGGACAGGGACTTACGGTACTCAAGGTTTGCTCCGGACGGCTTCAACGGCCCTGAGGTTCGTGGAGCGGGTCTATAATTAAAGATTGAAATTGATTAGAAAAACAAAAAAATACAAAAAAAGGAAAAATAGATGAGAACCTGAATTGACTTTGTTGGGCACACCTTTGACAATATGTATTTCTAATTTATTTTTTATCTTGTCCTATTTTCTTATTGGGGAGACGAGAAAAAAATAATTTATTTCGAAAATCCAATGTATTTGGCTCTTTTTTATTTTATTTTATTTTTTTTTTCGTTCCCCCTGTTTAACCTTGCTGCAACGGGGCTTGTGATGGGCCTTAAATTCCTATCCCTGGTGCTTGCATGACAGACAGACTCTACTGCCCACCATGAAGTGGGATATATTATTCCAAGTCCAGGTCAGTTCACAAAGGTCGACAACAAATTCCTGAGAAACTGTCAAGCACGAGGTCTTGTCAATGCTCCAGATAAATTCTAAATCCTTCCATTGCTTCATATCCCCGTCCAGTCCGAAACTCTCCTCTGGCCTCCCCGCATACAGCAAAACGCCTCTATCTGATCAAAGCTCAATCGACTGCATCCAGCATCATTGCACTGCGTTTCCTCACCCGTTGGAATTGAAACTCGAGGAACATGTGCAATTACTTCAAGAATTACTACATCTACAGTACCTGTAGTAATCCGTCGCAACATTTCATTCGGACATCTGTCGATGGAGCCAAAGACGCCAAATGCTCAGACAGTCCGCATGACAGGTTCATCGTGGTGGTTGGAAAATGCATACTCTGTAGTCGACCTCGTTGAATGGCATCAATTTTGGATCAATCGCGAGCGGCAACGACATTGCGACCTTCCCGTTTTGGCCTGGAGCGACGGTCCTCTTCCCAATCGAAGCAGGAGCATCTTGGCTTCATTACCTCCGGGGATTATATCGGAGCGTACCTGACGCTACGCCCTTCATTACGACGCTTTTCATGTCTCTCATACGAACTCTGGCTTATCAAGACTTCTAAACGATACCGTCTTGTGGTGTTGATGTTGTATTCACTTCTCCCGTGCACATATTGTTGATTCTGTACTTTCACTTCTTGCTTGTCTTACTCATTACTGATATCAAGGGCCCCAAAAGGCCAAGCCCGGGTTATGATCTGCGGATTTGGGTGTACCGTTATATGCATGGCGCTTGGAGGAGTCCAAAAGACTGGCCGGTTTGATAGATTGCTCTTTCTTCTCGATACTTTACTTTATGTTTTCTTCTTTTCAGCCCACCCTTTGATTACTTACCGTGTTGTTTGATTCCAACAATGAAGCTTGTTTATTTCTTTTTGTTGCAAACGAAAGAGCAAGGCGGCGTATCTATCTGTCGTGGCCGTCGGGATTCGCAGAAGGGGATACGGCGCCGACCTAGAACTCGCACAGAAACCACAGAGAGCATCACATGTTCTGCACATGTGCTTCTCGCTCGGAACTTTTGAAAGAACGGATGAAACCATTTGCTCCGGATACAGAAACCACGGACGAGTAATAGTAGCGGAAGAGTCGTCGAGACGCTACACAAGACCCGCCATGACCTGTGCGGGTTCAGACTATCCTGCTCGCAAGGTGTCCGCACTGGGGCGCTAAAGACAGCTAGCTAGTTATCAAGTCACCATGGACTTTGACGCAGAGGCCTGCAACGCAGCCCGTTTCCTGCCAAGAAGGTATCGTCCTGCACCTACTGGAGGACAGATGGCGTCTGTGCTCCTCCGCCTCGACAGCGACCGGCCGAAAGGTGAGCTCCAGTTGCCCTCTAGCCGGGCGGGTGGTTTTTTAGCACCCCAGGCTATTGCCTTTCCTCCACCTCCGCAGGCTTGCGAGGGGGGTCGCACCGGTTTCAAGGTTCTCACCCGGATTCTGTGACGTTTGCAGCTCACGCTCGCCAATCCGAGCTATGCGAAACCGGTTGGAATGTATTCCTCGACTGGCTGCTTCAACATCCTATCAAATAAGCAGCAGTCGATCGTTTTAGAAAAAAAAAACATGAACCTCGCTGGCAACATGAGGGGAGGGTGGACAGAGAAACAATGACGACAAACTCCACGCTAGTCGTTACATCCCATCTTCAGACCAATGTGGTCCTCGAGCGGCCTGCATCCGTGACAGACCGTGGTTACACATCTGCCGGCACGCACGACTGGCGCTAATCAGATTATTGCATGAGATGGTGGAGATGCCAGATTGCTAAAGAAAAACCAACATTGTCTCGGGTGGAGATGGTGGGAATTTTTGGGCCGCAGCCATTGATATTCCCGCAGTCCCAACAACTATTGTGGTCGGCTACCGCAATTTGTCATGAGCTGGTGATAATAATTTGTGTCTCGACGAATCACTGGTCGCCGAGCAGAGCTAAAGGAACCCTTTTCTCTGCCTCAGCCCACCTATAAGTGCTAGTGCCCATGGATTCCTTACCAACACAGAACTTACTCTCGGGCCGATGATGCATTTGCTGCAGGGCATGCAGGCGGTCGCAGGTCACTATTCCTGCCTTGCTCCGTATACGGAGTAGTACGGTCGGTTTGATGTTTCCAGACAGTCATGTTACAACGACGGGACAGGAGAGGAACCAGCGGCTCGGACGGAGACTGCGGAGCAACAACCAAACACCCATAGGGCATCAACCAAACCAGGGCCCAGAGTCAGCGTGAGTTCCTCCTTGTCTCTACGGAGGGGAGTTGATTAGTACCTTGCATGTACCCCAGCGAGGAACAACAAGGTGGGAGGGTCAGGACGGATCAAAACGGATGCAAAATTTCGTGCTACTACTGATCACGATTCGGCGTGGACGCCTCGACGACTAGCCAAGTGGCAGCATAGTACTTTCAGACGTTGTGACAAGATCGAACAAACAGTTTGTGAAGGGTTGTCGATCACATCGCTTCCATCCCTGCTGCTTTATGACCTAAACCACTATTAATTCAGCTTGACTGGGATCATCCTTCTAACAGCTTTCTTAACGTAGGATTTGTTTTCTCTTTTTTTTGTTTTCCATTTTTTGGACTCTTTTGGTTCTTAGAATCTCGCAATTTCATTGTAGCTTTTCCTTTTCCTTTTTACATATTTATTTCTCTGTTTAATATTTTTCCCCTCGCTCTCCACTTTCACTTCCTTTCCGCACTTTTAATTCTCATTTTAATTTTTGGTTCTATTATAATTTCGCGAATATCTTTCAATTTTTTTTTCCCCATTCCCCTCCCAACCCCTCCCCTTTTGTTCTGTGTCTCCCTCCCCCCATTTTCCGTTTCCCTTCTTTGTTCCACCCCCGTCCCTAGAATGCTTTATTCTCTCTATCATAGGACGCAAAACAGGGAGTCCGACATAACTCCGTAGTCCGTCCACCACTCACATCACCAAGATGGAGGAGTCTCGAGACGACTGCGGAGGATACCCAGTCAGCTGTATTGCCTAATTCTCAACAGGCTTTCGGTCTCAGGACGACCCTCGAGCTTCCGAATTTCTCTCCACGCATGTTCCGAACCTATCGATTATCTTCCGAAAAAAAAAAAAGAAAAAGAAAAAGAAAAAGATTATGAGCTGGACCGCGGCTTGATTACCGGAACGAGTAGCAGGTTCATCAGGGCCACCATGGCCTGACTTTCCCAGACCGGAAAAGATTCAGAGTAGGGCAAGCATCAGGGATAGAGGCAAGCCTTAGAGCCGGTAGTTCACCCATGCGAGTATGACCTCATACAGCACTGGGTCCTAGTTAATTGATTGTTTGCTTCAAGACGGACGGAAGATCCTGAGAGTAAGGCGGGCTGGAAGTCTGTTATTATAGTTGGGAGCCGGTAATATTATTTTAACTTCTGAGCCGTGCCACGGTACTTTAATGTTAACGGGACTTGCCCTGCCCATCCAGCCGTCTATCAGAAAGTATCTACCCGATGTGGATGCTACTACCTCTCGGCAAAAGAATCGCCCTTTGAAGGACGCGTCGCTGGTGCAGTTATCCAATCATTCTTGATCCATCGGCAAAGAATTCTCCGACGGTAATTGAGGGTGCGGGGAGTGTACATGCGTTCTTATGTCTGTCGGTCATCATTGCCCCTTCGTCGATTAGGTTGCCGGACAGGCTTGGCCCAGTCGGCACGGCGCTCCCATCGTGTCTGGCTGAAACGCACCGCGAGGGAATACAGTGGGGGGAAAGGAGAGAAGAAGGCGGTAGAAAGCAAAGAAGTTTTGACCAGAAGGAACGATCTAAGTGTTGTAGCATGGCAATAATATTACGTCCACTATTACCAAATTAATAGCCAAGACATTCGAGGGGAATTAAACGGCTCCTGGGGAAAGTACCGATCAAAGTACCTTCAACTGCCCAACAAGCCTGGTGGTTCGCTTGGGTAATTGCATTTTATACGGCCACACATTTACCCAATTTGATAGTGCTGCGGTGATTGCTGAATAATTTTACCGTCTTCTTGTTGTTGTCATTGACCCCTTCGTCATGTCAGTAGAAGACGCGGAACGATGGCCGAAAGACCGTGCAGGGCCCGGCTGATAGACCGTGGCCCTAGATCTTAAGCCACGTAAGGCGCATAATAACACCAAAAATGCATTGAAATAATACAGGTAATTATGATAACAAACATTATGAGCTGCATCCCGTTGGTCCAGCTGTCGCCTGTCTCGTCAGCCTTTCTTCCAGTTACATCTTTTTTTCAAGGCACACACCGAGGCGAGACCCTTCTTCTCATTACCCGAGCTTCACTTTCAACTCCATCAGGTAGTAGTCGTCAGTCACTCCAGTCCTCAACCAAAAGGAACAGTTCTTGTTGGTCAAGGCCACTAACCAAAAACAGTACTGTCCGAGCTGATGGAAGGGGCGTGAACCCACCAGCCATAGCAATCCACCCTACTTCATAGGTGAGTCCTGGAACTGACTGCCTCCGGGAATCTCATCTCGCCTTGGTAAGCGGAAGCACTTGACCTCCCGTCCAATCCCCTTCGAGCGACGACTGCTATCAAAGGATGCAACAAAGCAGATCGAATGCTCTTCCTCCCGTCCTAGGCTTCAATATCCAGCCACTCCGGGCCTTTTGCAATTCGCAGCCACGGATCACATTCCATTCTGTACCAAGGCTCCGAGGCACGGGCAGTCCGGGCCGAATCCGAGCCAGAAAATCATGTCATCTCATGTATCGCCTCGATCTATCCGACCGATTCCAGTCTTGGCTCTTTGATCAAGCACACTTGGCAACGGCTATCAAGCCTACGGACTCCTCCGGGGCTTTTTGCTAAGTGCCTCGGTCACTACACTCGGTCCTCTGCAGATGGGCTTTGGCTTCTTGTCAGCTATCACCTGTGGAGCCAACAGGGTGTGTCGTTGACCATTACTGGCCCAGTTTCGGCCGGTACTCGACATGTAATAGACTACCTGAACTAGGCGGGAAGCTGTTCTTCTGCTAATGTTCTAGTAGTTCCGTTAGTCTAGCACTGCACTGTCCAATTTCCTGTCTGCCTGCTTATCTCTGCACTAGCTGATTAATGGTCAGGCCAGGGGTCGGACCGGCTGCTCCTGCTGGATTCTTCTCCATCTGTTGCCCCCATTTGGTCCCCTGATTTATCGACAAATCATCGAGCCGTCTTGGAGTTGGGTGCTGGTTAACTGGCCAGGATTTCGTCATGGCTGCTATTTAGCACATATTGAGGGTTGAATAGGCAAATTAGGGTGCTTTTTGCTGAGCTTGATTCGCCAGTTGCTATTTCTCCAGCTCCTAGCCTCGTGCCTGTCACATTGGTCTTACCCGGTGATATCTGACATTAATGGGCAGTCGATAATGCAATTAATGTCGGTTTTATGCCGTTGTGCAGTATACCGTTGCTGGGAATTCGGAACTCCATTGCTTTATCTCAAGACCGATTAGGGAAGACCTTCCATCTACCCGGGACACCGGAGGTGCTTATCAGTAAGTGGCTTCGGAGACACTTGGCATGCATACAGATGTTAACTACAGCAAACATATGATGGGCACATACACTTTTTGTTTGTGGTCAAGACTGCTTCTATGACATGCGTGGAAGCTTTCCATGCTTGCCTGGTTGTGATCCCTCGTAATGAGACGATTGCTTAGAGCTTGTCGATGCGCCACAACGGCCATGCCAGGTATCATGTTGACATTATTGGGCCGTGCCTGTCTACGGCTGACTGCCGAGTGCGTTACCGAAGTCAAGCTTCCTGGCGTGACAAATAGTGAATAGTGGCTTAACGGTAAATAGATCTTTCAGGGGGATCTGCGACCGTTGGTGTTAATCAGCCGGCTATAGTAGCAGTCAAGGCAAGGGTGGGATGGTTAGGCTGGCCGTGGTGGGTATACACTCATCCGGACCAACGGTGGTTTCTACTGTGGATCTATAACTAGTAGCTGGAACACGATAGGATGACAAGAATACCTTGACTTTCTTGGGCTTGTAGTTGTATGTTGTTCCGTTATAGTGAAGGTAGCGATGTGCACATCAGTCTGAAGTATGAAGTTTGATTATTCCAGCACTAAGTGTTACACGGTCCAGCCTAAAGACATGTTGCCAGCCTTCCTTCATTCTAGTTATCACAGATGCAGAGTATATACTGATTAGGTTGCTAAGGGGTGGCTTGAATACTATTTAGTGTCGAAGAGCACGACGTTATGCCTGTAGAACCAGCGTCACCTGATCGAGGATGAATAAATACTTCACGGCCACTCCTCTTCTTCTCTTCTTTCACATGCAACCTGTTCGGTTCAGTGACCGGCCTTCCAACAACAATTTTCATCTCTTCCATCAACAATATCACTGCCAAAAAGCATCTCAGCTGTGTACTGTCGATTGCTCCAAGCTATCGTGCTTTTGTCTTTCCTGATCTATGGCTATCCTGAAAGGTTGGTGATTCAGTGCCAGCAGATAGCCTGGGAGCGCTCCTCGGAGATTGCTGTCTATTACCTCAGCTCTCCTCATTAAGTCTACGAGGTATTGGTAGCGATAGGAAAGAGAATGAAGCTAGGATTGTCACTCGCTAGGCCACTGTCATTTGAGAATCCCACCATTGTAAGTGTGCAAGGACGTCTTTGAGGATGATCAATACAACGCATCTCGTTGTCGATCAGCTTACCTCGCATAATAATACCTACTGCGAATACAGCTAATGCAGATCTTGTTCACAGGCCTATTCCACACGAGACACTCGCAGATCTGCGACGTCTTTCAACACAATTCGTTCACAATCCTGTCATGCGTCTAATGCGCTTAGACCCGGATCATGCTTGAGCAGGACTTTCTCTGCTGCTCATGCAACCAGTCTCATGCTGTCTCCCCATATCAGTCGAAGGGCGGGGGAGCTGCATCTGCCAGCATCGAACAATGCACGTCTGAGCATCAGACTTGGCAAGTTAGGTCCGAGCCCCTTTCTAGTCGCTAGTAGTACGCTACGCAGCGATAGCATTGAAGCAGGGTTACTGTCACCCTAAGTCTAGCACGTCTGTTCGCATCTGCAGCGATACGCACTATGAGGGCCAGTTTAGCATAGACTAGACTAGCCGCGGTAGCCAGGTCATTTTGGGACAGCTAGCTCCAACATGACACCTACATGCGCGCATGCACGGTCTCTTGCTGCTCGTTAGCGCGGGGGTGCTATGACCCTAGCCACATCATGCTCTGCAGGCCTCGAGTGCAGAGTAAGAGTACGGCGAATGAATTAGCAGTCATATCGGAAAGCTCTTGATTCGACGCACTACTATCAATACTTTGGTGGCGGTGATTACATTTACTGGAATATAGCTCTCCGTACGCTGCCACTTTCTGAGTCCCGCTTACTACTCAGCAGATGTTCTGGACCTATCTAGATTGCGCCGGCATACTAAGCTGCAGGGCCGTGCGCAAGATAAGAGCTCATACCATACCACTGCCAACGGTGGCGTTGGATAATAACGGCTGCCGATTTCAGACACGTGAAAGCAGTAGTCATTGTAAGCTAATATATGAGAACCATGTGATTCTCGTTAAGCAGCATACAGTGTTCGGACATCGCCTATAGCGTGAATTGCTGAGCCAATTGCACCACAGGATGCCAGGCTACAAGTTAGTCAGTCTGCAGGGCACTATGGTGCTTGATTAGTGACAACAGCTACGAGTATCCCTGGGTTGGTCCCGAAAGTTACTGCAACTGAGCTACGGTGCCTCTCCGAAGTGGAGCGCAATAAGCGGCCTACTTTTACCAGAGAGAATAATGGCAGGTATTGCCAAGACCTACGAACATCAAGTATGCAATTCTCGGCTCAGAACAATCAGTTTTTTTGCGGCAATCTACTAAACAACTCAGGTCTAGGAGACAAATACACAGCATAATACAAACCAGCTCAGCTAGTGTAGAAAGCAAGTCCAACACATTCGAAGATGCAAACAATATCAGTCACACCGTTGAACCCAATGATCCAGGATCATGTTCTTCAGAACGGTTGAAAATAGTCCCGAGTTGGAGAATTCACAGTATCGCCTCTTCTCCTCTGGATCGACATCTTCATTGTCATTCCTATCTCTACCTTTCGGGTATTCGATATGGAAGATAGGCTTCCCAGCCCTTGCAAAAGAGGCATACAGATCACACTCGTGTCTATCCACACACTCTTCATTGACGCTCCACTGCACGTTCGCAAGAACCTGAGGAATGACATCTCCCGCGTTCTTCAGTCCCATAGCCAGACCTCGGCTATGCGCCTCTCCAGCCAACCAATTGATATAGTTGATGGAATCCTGCTTCGTCAAACCAAAACCAGTGTCGTTACCATATCCATCAACATTATCTGGATCAACACCATCACAGCCCAGCCGCTGTGCTTGATCCAATCGGGCTGCCATGATGCGGCGCACTTGAGGATGGCGAACATCTAGCCATCTTTCCGCAGGCCAGTCATGAAGGGGATTGCCCAGCGCTTCTTCTGGAAACGAGGCACTGTCTTTCCTGTGTGGCTCGTAGCTTCCCGCAGAAAAGTAGCAGATCACTTTGTGGTTCTGCTTATGGAGGTTGTCGATGGTCTTGGGCTCGCTGCTCCACACGTCGATGTCATAAATTTCAGTGGCGGGAGCAGGACGAAGTACACTGGTGGAGAGCACGATGTCCCATGGAGCACCAACTCTGGGCTGCCAGATGTTGCTCGTGGTTGAGCGGGGGATGGTAAGACCTTGGGCCACTAGGGCGAGGAAGAGAATCAATATGAGCATGCTGACTTCGGAAGCGAGCTCTTAAGGAAAAGGAGAGTCAGTGATCAAATTCAACGATGGAGACAGGAAAGTCACGACTGTGCATGGGGCAGAAGAGGAAGAAGGAGAAAGACAATCGAAGCACCAACACCTATTTATAAAGCTGGACATGATTGTATTCACGCACCAGACGGCACGATGCTATAGAGTGCATCCCCACATGGCGCCACGTGCATGCTGTCATGGTGAAAGAAACCGAAGCTTCACGAACATGGTTTAGACTATCACTGTTACAGCCATTATGGTCCTAAATCTCCCGACCGAAGACATACCAGTCAATCATGTCAGATATCGCGGGGTCTAGGGGGGTGACTTGAAGCTACATGCCGCCTGTGAGAGCTAGCTATTCTGTAGGGTCGTCAGGGCTTGGTAGGTCGAGTTTTCACCCGTTTCCTTTGTCAGTGCATGTTAGCATAAATTAGACAAGTTTGATTGTAGCTTGGCAGGGTATTTAGAATATTACTGTTATTTGATACTACTATGCAAGACTAGGTATCTAATAACATACATACCCCTTATAGACAATCATCTCACAGACTATATAAAGTTTCAAGGAAATGAATAGCTTGAAAACTATATGGAACATGTCATACATGGATCATCTAACACACCAACTAGATAATATCTCCCTGTGTAACCTCCCAACAAATAACCACCCCATCCCAAATCCCCATTGGCACAGCATCAATTTAAATCCCCGTCCTGATCAGCCGTTAGGAGATTTGTACCACGAGCCTAGAAGTCAAATCTATCATATTGTCGCTTATCTGCATAGCCGCCACGGCTAATACTGTTACACTGTTCCAAACCAGCACAACACATAATATAGTGAGTCATTATCGATTATGCTTATTTCTGACCAAGGTGAAACTAATCTCTTGCTCTACTCTCCTGGATCTTTGGGATTATCAGGAGCATTCTTGGTGAATCTCATGTTTTGCGTTGATTGTGACTGTTATTTATTGGTGGATTATGTTCCAAATCTGGGTAGTATATTCACTGTTAGTATGTCTCATGAATAGCAGGTTTCTTATTTGGTATCCAGTCACAGACCTTGCTTGTGAATTCATTCCGGGAGTTCTGGCCATCATAACAAAGGATGAGTGCATTATCATGTACTAGTATATATATTAGCGCTCCGATATTCCACTCTTTACAGGACTAAATATTGAATGGTGAATAGACCGACCCTATCGTAATGTTCACTAGTGTGCTATTACACACCACTCAGAATCACATCTTATCAATGACTTGTACTTTTAAATCTATAGAACATATTCAATATATACCTAACCATCACTACCACCGCCCAATTCTCGCCCCCTCCCCCAACCCGAAAAAAAAAGTAAAGGGAAAACATGAACACTCATGATCATTATCATTACCAAACATACCCATACATAAACAGTGACCTATATACATACATACCCAAGTCCCCCATGCCAATCCCAATCCCATAACTACACCCGTATAATTTCATCGATAAACATTAATCCTAAACTTCTGCAACTCCCTCGGCGACGGCAACACAATCACATCAGGACTATCCGGCGGCACAGCATACTCGTCCGGCGGACATAGCCTATCTGATTTATTCCCTCCGCTACCAGCAGGCGATCTCGGACTCCCCACCCTCAGCCGACTATAATACGGGTGATTATGATTATGGTGAAGGTGATGGTGGTGGTGGTGAATCTGGACCTTTAGCGTCGAGCGCGCCTCTCTATGTTTCATCTCGGATGTTGATGATTTAATTATTTCCGTATCGGACATTGTTCTCAGCGGTGTAGGTTTCGGCTTCGTCGCCGCAATAGCAGTGGTAGTGGTAGTGGTAGTAGTAGTAGAAGGTGAACGTGACGTATCGACATGCAGATTAAGTTCCTTGCGCAGCGAGGGGGGGATATGCGCTTGTTGTGGTGGTGGTACAATATCTGCATTCCCCTTCGATTCTGCCTCTGGTAATGGGTGTGGGTGTGGGTGTGGGCGTGGATGTGTGTATGCCGGCGGCGGCTGAGACTCCTCGTCCGATGGGGAAATATCTAATGATAATGATTGTCTTTGTATGTTTGGGATCGGATTGCGGGAAAAGAGCATTCGGAGAGTGATGACGGGTCCGTGCTGGATTCGGAGGACGATGAGGGTGGTGAGGATTATGGTGAGGAGGATTGCTCCTGTTATTATTATTAGTATTTATTATTATTATGGTTGTTAGGGTGTGTGTGGGTGGTAATGAATGGGATGATTGATGGTGAATGGACACGTACCTAGTATGCCGAAAGCTAGACCTACTTTCGCCTGGACGGTGAGGTCTGATGTTGATGTTGTTGTTGATGTTGTTGTTGTTGAGTCGCTGCGCGAGCCGTAATTGTGGATGTGGTGGAGGACATGACTCGTAGATTGGGACATTTGTTTGGGTTGATTAGATAGTAGTAATTATTATTGTTGGATTGGATTATTGAGGTATAATGATAGATGTAATGGCATCACAGACCAGCTGCGCACAGAATCAATATGAATCAATGTAATGAAACAAAACGAAGGAAGGGAAAAGAACTGAAGAAAGGAAGAAAAAAAAAAGAGGTAGTTGATATATCACCCCCCTCCCCTCCCCACCCTAAAATACCAACAAAAGGGTAGTTTGCACCTCTAGTCTAAAATCTTGGATGAAAAATAAAGCAGGGAAAAAAAAGAGATACTTTTCCTCCTGAAACCAGGATGGAAAAAAAGGCGTTGGTAGTAGTACACTACTTCTCCGTAGTATGTTCGGCATTTTTATCCCGGCTTATTATTATTCAACCCTAACTAGTTAACTAGTCTAACTAACGGGCAATCAAGACGAGACACCGGCTTGGAAACGAACTTGTCTACGTTGAACGTTGAACCAACCCCCTAATAGAGGGGAGAGGGGAACTTGGTCTAGGCGGTTCCATAGAAACTTTACTACAGTTGACTAGTAGTAAGTTAAGGTAGTTTACTTAGTTTCCTTCTGGATGATCGACTTGGGCTAGTCGGTAGTTTGTGAAACGGCGGATCATTGGACTGACTCGGATAACCCACTCCAGTTATTATATATCTGTCAGTCTGTCTGTGCTTCAGTACATTACTATATAGTATATACTAAGTACGGATGATAATATTATTACTCTATGAATATAAATAGACATACACCCTGTAAATCCTATGTATATAATATCTACATCAAACAAAGGACCCTCCTTGGCAACGGACGGATTCGTTCATTCTCATTCTTCATCCGTCCCATGCAAAGTGGATCCTCGTGGATCCCATTCCTTTCCCCGGGTCTTGGCCGAGAAGGGGAAAGAAAGAAAACTGAAATAAGGGGCTTTAACTTTTTCTGCAGAAACCCGAATACGGACTGGACTGTAGGTAGACTCGTGATCAATCTATACTAACTAGTTAGTACTATCCATGCTCTGATCTTAATGGTCTGTTGATGGGGTCCACTCAATAACGGGATCCATTTTTACCTGCTGAAAATCTAGACACATACTACGTAGTTACTTAGCTAGCTAGCTAGTTAGCTGAAATGTTTGTTTAATCCGAGGCTCAGGCGTATGTAGATTAGATCTTACATGTGTTCGTGTGTTGGGTGTGTTCATGTTCGTCTCATACTGCCGCACCACCCATATGCTCAAACGAACCTGCTACAATGTAGGAGCTAGCTAGCTGTGCCATGGCTGTGCGTGGCTCCCACACGCGGCATATGGATTGATGCCATAAGGTGTCAATTATTAGTTTAATGGACTGCCAAATTCAGTTCCCATACCTCATCCACTAAATACCTGTTGTTGGCACCATTTCCACTTAGCCTTTTCTAAATGCCTCAAATTATAATGCAAAAGACTCCGTATGGCAGCGAGGTCCATTCATGTCCATTTGTTCAAACCAATTCAATAGAAGCCCAAGTCGAAAGAATAGTGCAAAAGAGAACAAAGAAGACATATATATGTCCCCCGCACGAAGGAATTTCAGTCTAGTTTTGTTAATTTATAATTGTTTCTTAGACTACGCATACTACACCATGATGTGGGCTAACAACTCCTCTGAGAGACTTGCCCCACCAGACTTATACATATCCTGGATGAAAACGAATATCATGTCAAGAGTAACCGAAGAGTTATACAGGAATGACAATAGCTGACCAGATTAGCTATTGTCATAAGTCTCGGTAATGACAAGTAACGTTTTCTGTCCACATGAAACAATTTTATTTCCCAAAAGAGAGACGCAGAAAAATCAAGTCAAACCTCATAATGCGGGCTGCGCGGGTTGGGGTATTGAAGATACGGGTCATTAATGGTTGTCAAATAGAGGTAGAGGGGCCTGACCATAGAGATTGTGCATGTTCCTAAGAATTAGAGCTGGAGGTGAGCAGTCTTAGCAGAGATCAAATAGAACCCGCCTTCGAAACCGGCGCTACATATATCGCGTTTATTAGACGATTTTCTAGCAACGAAGGACTGGTGATCGGTGACCCTACAGTCCCAGGAACGGGCGAGGCGCAGATGTGTCGAGTGATATTCGATAGACCATGCATGCACCACGATGCTAAACGGCAGTGAAGCGCTTACCTCTTGAGGAGCACTGAACACAATCCATCCGGTTCTAGAATAAAACGCCACGGCCCTCACTATCCCGACTTAGCCTTTGGCTCACGAACCATACAATAGAGCTGTCCCAAGTTAGCCAACCATCTGATACAACACCCCGATTTCACCACCACGCCCCTACTCTTCCTACTCCTCCAGATAGAAGAAGAAAACAAACTCACCATACAAACATCCCCCCCATCCCTACACTCCATCTCCCTCCTCATCTCAAACCCCATCTTCTCATAAATCTGCACATTCGGCACATTCCTCGAACTCTCCAAATAACACTTGACTCCCTCCTGATCCGCCCGATCCGTCACCGCCTCAAAGAGCTTCCTCCCCACCCCCAGACCCTGACATTCCGGATGCACCGCCACAATATTGCAGAAATAGTATCCCTTGGGATCATCCCAGATCTGGCTCTGCGCTTCATGCTGCCGCTCCTTCCAGATCCAGTAGCGGTTGGTGCGGAGTCCGCCCCGTCCGAAATGCCATACGTTGTTGAGCGTCTGGCGAAAGCTGAGAAGCCAGTTTTGCGTCCAGCTGTACCATGTCTCTGGTGTGTGAGCGGGGGTAGGTGGGAGCCAGCAGGAGACGCCCACTATCTTCTTTCCTCCTGGGGATTTTGATGTGTCTGTCGCAACTTGGAAGATGGCATTGTTGATCCCCCAGCGACATCGCACCGCTAGGGAATCGTGATTGCGCTGCTTGTTGAACTATTTCATTTGAAAATGAAGATGAAGGTTTCCCATACTGGTCGGGTTTGGGGAGGTTACCCCAACCCGACCGCGGTAATGGGAAACGTTGGAGAATTGGTTAGCTTGGTGCCATTATCTTGTCCCATCGTGAGCATCATCTGCAGGCTCAGAGTCTACTACCCCGTTCGGGTAATGTTTTATCTGTGACTGACGGACTTACATTCTCAGCATCAAACACCCACTTGAAATACGGATCTTCTGCAAACGCCGTCTGAATGATCTCAATGGCGGCGGGGATATCTGCCTCGGTGAGGTCTGTTACTTCGATGGGCATTTTTGCTCTTTGCCTTTTTTTCCTGATCCTTAGGTTCCCTGTTCACATCTTAGATACTTATATACTAGTAGTTGTCGATGGTAGTACTTACCTGCAGCTCAAACCTCTCAATGGTAATGACTAAGTGAAATTTCTCGAAGATTGAAGTTCCAGTTGAAAGCGGTGTAGACAAAAACGTGACTGATATGATACTATGAGAAGATATGACCTGTTCTAGTCTTCGTGCAAGGAGAAAATCAGAATAGCACGAGGTCGTGGTACAATCAATAAATGCAGGTGATGATGGCGTCAATCAGATTTTAATACTTCGGACTAAAGTGGATAAGCGCCGAAAGAGGCAGCTCTATGCGGGCGGTGCGCCACCACGGGCGGATTCCTACTTCCTATCTATATCTACTTATCTATTTACTGTTCACTGCTTTGAGCTTTCACCGCTGCTTCATTAGGTTCATGTCTTTCGCTCTAGTATATGGTTACACTTTATTGAACTATACCGTAGGCAAGGGAGGTACTATTATTCAAGTACGTATAACTCAATCCATGCATCTGCTGTATCTGCTACAGCTGGTATCTAAACATAATATATACAACACGTATATAGTATGAGGAACGAGGAAGATCGCTCAATCAATGCCACAAATACATCCCGGTTCCTCAGGCGCCATATTCAATCAGACCACATAAATTAGACAGGGAGCCAGCCTACGTTGCTCCGAAAGGATCAAACGCCGGTTGTATCACAAACTCCCTCCGTCCTCTAAAACAAAAGTACAATCCTCATAGCGTCGTAACTACGGCTCGTCGGTTAGACGGCCGACTCCTCCAGACGTACCCACTCCCGTGGGACGTCCATGCTGCGGTTCACGCGCCCCCCTGGCGTGAGAGGCACATCAACTCGTCCGCGGCCCCGATCATCATCGGCATGTTCCTCGTAGAAGGACAGCCGTGAGAAGTAGTCCTGCAGCACCGATTCTCGGTCGTTGCCCCCAACGATGGAGTTATACTCCGGAGGAGGCGTCACGAGTGGTGGTGGTGGCGGGACATCTTCAAAGGCAGGCGGTGCAAATGATGGCGCCCGCAGAAGATGCATCGGTCGGGGCGCAGGATGTCGATCGGTTGGCTCATCCGCCAAATGGGCCTGGGGAGGTCGAGCCAGCCCACCGGAACCATTAGTGAAGCTTCTCGCAACTGCGCCGCCGAGGGGCACCTCGTCCCGATCAGAAGACAACGACTGCCGGCTGGAGCCGTTTCGAGAACCATTCCTGTTGACCGGCGGCGCCCCCGGACAGCCACATTCATACTCCTGAGCCTGCGGCGGCGGCTCCGAATCGGGCGAAGTGTATGCGGGTAGGTAGATATTCGCTTGTGTAGCCTTGCAAGAAAGCAGGTGGAATGGAGAATCGATCGAGATCTCAAAGTGTCTTCGCTTGCCCGAATCCCGTTCGTCAACCTTGGACAGCCGCAGTACAATCTTATAAACGTTAGTATCGAGCGAATCCTACAAGGTGTGGAGTAGAACATACCTTGATCCAGTGGTTGATTTGAATGTTCTCATACGTCGTGTCAAAGTGCAGGCGCTGGGACTCATCCCGGTTGCGCATCTCCTGGCAACTGGGAAGCTGAACATTGAACTCCATCTCAGTCGGGCCAACACCCGCGTCGCTGGAGAGATTGCCAAGGAGGTTGGTCCGGTTTCGATCGACAATCTCCTCGCCCCTCGCAGCAGCCGCGCGACGGTCCCAGTCGATGCCGCCACCGGCCGTCACTCGCATTGAGCTTCCCGGGTAGGTACTGGTACTGGCCGAGTCCGCCCGCTTCTCAAAAAGCAGCACCTTCTTCGCTGGTTGAAACCGATGGACGCTCTTGTCTGCAGTCCAGTGCTGAATGTTCTCGGTCACGTACACCTTGATCCGGTGGCACTCAACCTTCGCCAACGGCGTCAACTTGAACGCGATGGGAACTTGCGATCCAAGAGGAAATGACTTCCCCGAGATGACAATGTCATAATGCAGCTGGTCTTCCCAGTTTCGGGAGATGGCGATCGGCTCGACCTGCTCCAACGAGCCCTCTGCTGGCGTGCGGATGACCGGCACTTCCAACGTACCGAGCAGATTGGGGCGAAACGCACCCGCCCGTTCCACAATCGCTTCAAGATCGTAGCGAACAGACCCCAAATCGGTCTTGATCGTCTCAGGGAGAGATCCATCGATGGGAAACTCAAAGCTATACAGATAATCACCGACGGGAAACAACCGGTAGTTGCGCTGAGTGTGAACTGGGGGCGGCGGGGCGTCATTCTTGCTCAAACTGCGCGAATGGTTCGATTGCAAGGACAGTCGCTTCAAATCCCTGGTTGTCAGTTGGCCGTTCTGGCCCAACGAGGTCGCCGAGCCGGTCTTGGAGAGCAACTCCCGGGTGCTGGTGGTCGGCCCATCCTTGCCCGTCACCGACGTCACCGGTTTGGCGTGCTGGTAGAAGTGCGCACCGTAGTCGTTTTGCATCAGCGCAGTATCTCCATGGTTAAAATACATGACGCCATGTGTGACGAGGTCTTTCTTGTCGTGAAAGTGGACTTTCTTGGGCGGAATGCCTACATGAGACAAAGAGTTAGTGGTGACGCCACCTGGGGTAAGAACAATGGGATGTAACATACCATCTGGCCAATCGGTCTGGGCATGTCCGCGGAAACAAATGGAGATCTTCTTGACCTTGACACTCTTGGTAATTTTGAGATGCAGCTGCCCGCGCAAGATGGCGGACTTTTTGGTGCTGGGATCGTTCTGATCATAACCCTGAAGAAACAGAACGGGTTCGGTGAGCGCAACACCAACCGTTATGCCACTGCCGGTCGCCACGATCTTCTCATTGCGCAGAGTGGGAAACGGCACCGATGGATCCGCCGCCGGGATTGCCGGTTGAGCCGAAATCGGGGAAGGCTGGGACGCCGACACGGTCGACGAAGAGTGGGAGCGCAGCCTGCCCGTCCTCAAACCTGTGCTGGCAAGCATTTGTGCATCATCGGGGGACAAAAGAATCTCAGACACGGGGCGAGGGCGATGTGTTTCGGGCATTGAGGGAGTGGGAGTGGGTGGCGTCAGCGTAGTAGTCGGGTGGATAGGGGTCCCCAGGCGGAGGAATCGCTTTGCGTTTTCCCGCGGACCCGCCAGTTTGCTAAGTATGGACGCGCGCCGCCGATGGCCTGGCCGTGGAACTTGTTCGACCGCAAGAGTGTCGCCAACTACACTGGAAGTTTCTAGAGACCGACGATGATCGGAGCGAAACCTCAAGAGACTGTGGAAGATGGGCACAGAATCGGGGGTGCCACAAGAAAGGTGGGAGACCGCACTAGTTGTAGTGGTCACGGAACCGGATAAATCCTGTTCTAGATGGGAGATGTGAGTCGTCATCGTGTAAAGCACCAATGGAAGAGCATTATTTGCCAGACGCAATGAAGACCCTAAGGTAAAACAGAAAAAATAAGAGGAAAGACAAAAAGATGACTGCGGGATGTCCGGATAGGCTGATTTTCAACCACGGGTAAGACGGATATAGAGAGGCGCAGGTGAGGCACCCAAGATGGATGTAGTATGCTGGTTGCTGAAGTATAGAGGGGAGAGATTACACCAAATTGCGAGGGATGTCACCAAGGGAGACGCAAGGTAGAAGAAGTAGAGTAACAGAGGAAGATAGGAGAAAGGAGAAGAGAGAGAGAGAGAGAGAAGAAAAAAGAGAAAGGGAAAAAGGAATGCAGCAGGGTCAAAGGGTAAAAGGAAAAGGAAAAGGAAAAATAGTAAAAATAAAGCAGCAAAGAAGCAAGCACGCTTTGGGGATGAATCGACGACTTACCGAAATGGAGTCAAGAGAGAAGATTGGGCGTGGAGAAGTATATTCAGAGTCAGGTTGAATGTTACGCACAGTCCCAGCTGCAGTGAGTCGTGCGACCAGTGGAATTTTCCTTGGGACGGAGTCACAGTTCCCTGTCCTTAATTTCGTAGTGGGTTTTTTTTATGTTTTGATCAATTTTTACTGTAATTTTTTTTTCTTTGCTTTGCCTCTTTTCGGATTGGGATATTTTTCTGAGTTTGGGAGATGATCGACGGCGCAAGGAGCAGCACGTCCACCGCGGCGCAGCAAAATGTAAAGTCCCTAGTAATCAAGCGTTCAACGCGAAGGAAGGGATCACCGTTTTCAGTAGCGTCAAGCAGGCCAGATTGGTCGATGATGCGGGGGGAAAGCCAAAACACCGACGACCCAAATGGGGATGGGATGGGATGGGATGTGTCTAGGGGGAGACCAGGTAGGGCGAGTTAGGAGCAAGTAAGTATCGAAGAGTCAATCATCGACTGAGGGGAAAGTCATGCGAAAGGGCAGCATTGACATCAATGACAACACAGACACGGACAAGAATGAGGCGGTGCGGATATAGTTCCTTGGGCACAAGATACTTAAATGCAAGACAAGGCGGGGGGAAAGGAAGGGAAAGCGACTACTACTTGAACCAGGGCTTGGAGGAAGAACAAGAGAGAGTGAGAGAGAGAGAAGAGAGAGAGACGATGACGCGGATGGAGGGGGAAAGTCGGTAGGTTCAGTCATATCCGGTGATCCGCAAGTTGCCTTCGACAAGTCTCCAATGAAGGCCATTCTCCTCGCTGAACCACTTGGAACCAAACTGTCCTTGAATCTTTTTCCACCCGCGGTCAGACTTTCCGCACGAACATGGGCGCCATGGAAGGGGACCACCAACGCCGGTAAAGTACTCGAGCTATTCCAACTCTGATAATCTACAATGGAAGGTCTGGCCTCAACCCACTTTGTCAGTCCGTCGGACCCGATATTGATTTTACGATGTTGTGGACCGAATCCTAGCAAAATGTTTGCTACTGGAGATTTCCCAAGCTCAATCAATATTCAGCATAGCCTCGACTGATGGTGTGGTTATGTCTCTCTCCTCTCTCTAGCCCTCTCGCCCCCATCTGTTCCATGTGATAGATGACGGGGCAGTGGTGCGGTTCGTGTCCTCAGGTACGAGGGAAAAGAACACCCTAGACTAAAGATATCTTCGAACGGTACTTTGTCCCTTCACTAGCTGAATCGTTAGCGCCAAAAGAGGGGGCCCAGGCCTCGGCCATGACTTGAGGGGAGTGACGTCTGATCTGCTGGGCCCGGGGGCCGAATTTCACGCACTCTTGAGGCTTTAGAGGCGGGTATTCCGGCACGGCCTGGAGAGAGAGAGACCAAAGCAAGTTCGCTCGGTCATGAGATGATGTCTATCCTTTTCGCTCAGGATCATCAGGATGATAGCCAGTTGTCCCCTTGACTTCATACATACATACACACACACCCCTCCTTCTCCAGAGTCGAGTCGGAAACAAACCCCAGTAAAAACACCGGGATATGAGGCGGTCAGATCCACCGGGACACAGTTCGTGACATCCCAAAGCTTCCTGCGAGGCTGCCGCGTTTCGTTGTCAATGCGGGGATTCTTGGCCGTGCTGGTGATATCATCGGGGCGCGACGGGAAGGATTTTGACTAATCTCTCTGAGTAGTTTGAGGCTTGGTGGGCCTTTCCCGGCTGACCTGGTCTGGTCTGTCTTGCCTTGGGGAATCATAGGTAATTTCATTTTCTCCCCTCTCTCTCTGCTTTTCGCCTCTCAGGTCAATACAATCGAAAGAACACCTTGCCCTTCAGGCTTCCGTCGGGTCGCCAAAAACCAATTCCCGACCTCTCATTCCGATTTGAAGAATGGATGCAGAAGTTTAATTTTAGATCCATGGCCTGATTTCGGGAACGGTTCCACAGTCGCCTTTGCCGTCACACTCGTTTGTGGCCGTCGCCGCCGTCGCCACCACCTGTAGGTCCGAGTATTGTCCGGTTCAATGCCTTGCAATATCTATTGTTCCAGGTAGAGTAGTCGATCGTCTAGACTTTCAAGGCGCAGATATATCGTACAGTTTTCAGATGGCTCTGATGGTTTTAACCGACCTGTCAGCCCCCACCGTAGATACATCGAGATTACTATGAGTCATTGGATGATTAGCCCGGACAATTTTAACCTGCTCTTAGTCAGCGAGAAACCTTCCGGGCCTTCAGCTTACCACTCGTTGACAGTCTGGAGACGATCTCGATCATCAACACCGGCTTCCCATGATGTTCTCCACACAAAGTCCATTATCACATGGATGACATCATCACAGGGTAACCTTGACTTTACATTGACTTCAGCACACTCCCCGTTTGTTTACTTGTAGTACGTAGGGACTACTGTTTACCCATAGGCAGCATCATAATGTAGATCGTCATCTTCTGTTCTGAACACCTCAGGAAAGTGGCCAGTTACTTCATGGCATTTGGAGGCTGTGGTCGGACCACACACTGACTTCATACTATATGTGTAACGAGAAACATCGCCATACCAAACTATTGGAACTGAACTTCCTTGTAGGACCCAGTCAGTAGTTATCCCGAGGCCGAACTAGCAGGAAACAGCTTAGCTGCACTGAAGCCAAGCCGGACCAACACTTCACACAGAAGAGCTAATCGGGCTTAAAGTTGAGTGCCTTCACGTCAGTTTGCCGACTGAAATAAGCTCCGCCGTGCCCCGGTCCGTACATTCCTCCACTTTCGGAGTGCCTTGCGTCATTCCGTTGCCTGATAGGTACCGATCCCCAACCCCCTTACAGGGTGGATCGTCTGATTTGCCGATTGGCGGCTCGGTAATCGTAGAACTGAGAATGTTCCCTCCGGCGAGGTATCAGATTGATTGCGCTGACCATTCTAGAAGTGTGTCTGGTCGGCCGTTGAAGATGACACCGAAGTTGCATTGTAGAAGGAAGCAGTCGTCTTGATTGATGATGTTTGTTCCAGACATTCGTCATATTACTTGAAATGTTATCGCCCGACTAGCATATAGCTGCCTGCATTTTGTCTATCCGTGCGAAGGTAGTGATCCGTATCTCAAGCAACGTTGATGCGCGGACCATCAAGTGAACCAGCTGTCATCCAGGTCATTGATGTTAACCAACCCGTCCCCATCTAGTAAGCTAGCGTCTCCAGCTCCTTCTCCCCCAAAAGTATCGTTCTCCATAAACAGATCGTCGAAGCTAGATTCTCCTGGTGCCATGACATCTTCCATATTACTGCCACCTTGTCCATCAAACGTCTGCTCGCCCGAGGTACCCCCTGGGTTAGTGAATGCTTCCGCTTTTTGTAGCTCAAGATCAAATGCATCCCCTCCCATCTGTGCGGGAGCCGGGGTGTTCTCGGTAACAGGTAAGGCTGTTGAAGCATTGTTTGGCTGGTTAGTTTCTCCCCCATTGCCATTGTTGGTATTGCTGGCGGCATTGGCTAGATTAGAGCCCGACAGAAAACTGTCATTTCCCACGCCATCATCGCCAAAGTCCAGGTTCAGGTCGAAGGCGTTGGTCCCAGAATTATCGGCTAGCATGGCATCGAAGTTGAAATCGCCTGGCGCAGAAACGGGTTGTGCTGCAGGCACATCAGCGGCTTCTTCCTCAGGCTTCTCAGCTTTGACGGGCTGATCGCTTGGCTGACTAGCATTTGCGTCGACCTGGGGCTTCGGAGCGAGAGCGTCGTCAACTGGCTCGGCCTTGGGCTGGACGGTGTCTGCGTCGGTCACTGGTTGTTCAGAAGGCTGTGGTGCCGCCTCTGGTTCAACTTTCACGTTCGATTCCTTCATAACAACATCCTCAGCGGGCTGAAGGGCAGCTTTTTTTGCTTGCACTGACTCGTAGTCTCGTTCAAGGAAGGCTTTGGCAACAAACTGTCGACGGTGAGTACAGATTGCAGAATCTCGAAGCTGCTGCTAGCTTACTATCTGCTCAGATAAACTGTCTAGAGCACTCTGAAACTTCTCGTGAGCAGTGGGGATTGAACGCTTGAGTTGGGCCCTGGACTGCATGGACCCGCCAGTTTTAAAAAAGCGGCCGGTCTCTATGAGCTACTGGCAGTTAGAATATGGCCTTTAGCACTGCAAGGGGGTTACTAGGATAAAGGAGTACCGTTTGGTTGACCATTGACGTCAGAACGTCAAGAGAGTCCGGATTGGAGAATTTTGTTGTCGCCATGGCTATGGTGGTATAGTGACAGACAGGTGTTTGGTATGGCCTGTCGGCTTTCTAGTCGGTCGTATTTGACGCAAAAGTTTAAAAGGAAGGGCCCTTAACCAGCAGTATCAAAGAGCGATAAGAGCCAGTAATATGCGGTTAGATGTGAATGGACGGTTTCAGAAGGTCCGTGAGGACGGGTGCCGGGTTCTTTGACGGCAGTACCTGAAAACCTATTGGAGCAGAAGAGTCGTTATGGGGAGGGAAATTGCAAGAAGCGCAGGGAAGTCGCGCAAACAGTGCCCAAGCCAAGGGACACAAAAACAGCAAGGACGCGACAGGAGCTTGTCCAACGTGAGGGCAGGTGAACAGATCAGGCGCGAGGGAAAGGGGGGGGGGAGAAGGAGGAGTAGATGGAAAGAGGAAGAGGAAGAGGAGAAGGAAGAAGCAAATGATGGAGAATAAGCGCCTTTGCTTGGACAAAGACGAGGCCCGTCAAGGGAGGACTAACGCAAGAGGGGCTAGCGTGCCCCCCACCCGGAGCGGCTCTTGACCATCCAAACTCCTCGTTCTGCTCTCCAGTCAAACTTCCCGTCAAGTCAGATCATCGCAGCTTTTCTTTCCCCTGTTTCCATCCTTTCCCCATTTCCTTCTTCCTCTTCCCTCCATTCCTCTCTCCATCCCCATCCCTCATCTTCAGGTGTTTGTCGAGCTCGTGAGCCCGTGTGCATCTGTTTTCTCTTCCCTTTGTTTTTTTCTTTCCCTTTCCTTTCATCTTTGCTCTTTTTCATTTCCCTCCGTCTTCTTGTTCCACCGTTGCGTTTGCCTCAAACACACCTCCGTCCCGGCTTCGGTTGGCCGAATCTGAAGCTCTGCTGCTACTGCTGCCACCTCGCTCACTTGTTGGGGCTGGTTGAGAATCAACACCACCC